GATATATACCTTGTGGTTCTTTGTTGGGTTGCGGACACGTTGTTAGGAGTTGTTTTGGTGTTACTCTGACAGGTGGACATGCCTAATTACAGGGGAGACTCTGCCGAAATTTCTGAAAAAATTGGGAGTTAGAAAATTTGGGATATTGAGATGTGCAAAGAAAGAGATAAGTTACATTATGTGTTTGAAGACGGACTCTACTTCTCATTTGAGGACGAATGACCCTAAATGGGGAGAATAAAACACCCCGTATTTGATGGGTGCATAGGCACAAGTTGTTATAGCCAGTCGAGACTAATATCGTGTGTTGACGTGAAATCGAACCTGTTTGGAAATGATTGGAGTGTAAGAAATTTGGTCTTAAAGTTTGCAAATATGGATAAAGGAAATAATCTCAATTGGAATGGTGTTGTCGGACTTATGTCGAATGCGGAAATGTGGGATCAACCGCGAGTATATGTGTAAAAGTAAAATCATCAATTTGGAAACCTCAGAATAATTCTTAGTACGTTCGAGGACGAACGCTTGTTTTAGAGGTGGAGAATGTGATGACCCAAAATGCCATCTTTAAATTAAATAATCATTTCGGTATTTTAAGACCTTGAAAAACGCTATCATTAATTTCTCAACTTGCGTGCACAGTTCATATAATTTTTCGGAAGGTTTTTATGTAAAAAATGGATTAAATTGTGAACTAAAGCTTTAAAACTCAACTGAGTTGACTTTGGTCAACATTTTGAACAAATGAACTCGGATAAAAGTTTTGACCATTCCGGTAGTTCCGTATTGTGATTTGGGAATTGGTCATATGGCCGAAATCGAATTTGGAGGCCCTAGATCAAATTATCGCCATTTAACGGAATCTAGAAATCTAAGGCTAAAGATTTCTTAAGTTTGACCAGAGATTTGACTTTTGAGAAAAAGACCCCAGAATGAATTTTTGATGATCCTAATAGTTTCGTATGGTGATTTTGGACTTAGGAGCATGTTCAGATTTGGATTTGGAAGTCCGTAGGACAATTCAACGCATTTTGGCGGAAGTTGGAAAATAGAAGATTTTTGGAAAAGTTTGACCGAGAGTTGACTTTTTGATATCGGGGTCGGAATCCAGTTCTGAAAATTTTCATAGCTTCGTTATGTCATTGATGACTTGTGTGCAAAATTTGAAGTCAATCGGACATGATTTGATAGGTTTTTGCATCGAATATAGAAGTTGGACGTTCTTAGTTTCATTAGGCTTGAATTGGGATGTGATTCACGGTTTTAGCATTATTTGATGCGATTTGAGGTTTCGACTAAGTCTGTATCATGTTTTAGGACTTGTTGGTGTATTTTGTTGAAGTCCCGAGGGCCTCGGGTAGATTTCGGAAGGTTAACGGATATAAAAAGGCTGCTGAATTTTCTCTTTGGACAGCTGCTGATTTTTTTACAACATGTGAACAGTACCCATAACAGTACCCGTGAACAGTATCCTTGAACAACATCATGAACAATACCCCCATGAATAGTCGTGAACAGTACCCGAATTTTTCTGGACAGAATGTTAAGTGTTTTTCCAAATTGGAGCTCGGGGAGAGGCGATTTTCGGGAGATTTTCAGAAAAAACAACGGGGTAAGTGTTCTTAACTTAATTTTGGTTAGATTACCCGAATCTATTATTAGTTTTGACGTTAAATCTATAAATTTAGTTGGAAGAGTTTGAAAACCCTCTCGGATAGATTTTAGAATTTGAGGGTCGAAATATTATCGAAATTTAGTAATTTTGGTATAGTTAGACTCGGGGTTGGATGAGGTTCATATTTTGTAACTTTCGTCGAATTCCGAGACATGGGACCCACGGACAAATTTTTAGTGCAATTTCGGATTAATGGAAAATGTAGAATTTCATATGAAATTAATTCCTATAATTTTTATTGACTGAATCGAATTATTGTGGCTAGATTTGAGGCATTCGGAGGTCGATTTGAGCGGAAATGGCATTGGGGAGCAAGATTTTGCTCGGATTGAGGTAAGTAATGGTTATAAATCTTGTCATGAGGGTATAAAACCTCAGACATTGTGTTGTATGACTATTTTGGAGGTGACACACATGCTAGGTGACAGACGTATGGGCGTACACCGTTAGGGATTGTGACTTGGTCCATCCCGTAGCAACTATAAAGTTGTAAATTTGACTGAAACTATATGATACTTATGTGTTTTGGAAAGAGTTTCTATAAATTGGGTCGAATGTCAAGTTTGGGCCATGTGCCAGAACTGTTTGGACCCTTAGGGGCCTTTTATTTATTATCCCCTCACTGTTCTGATTGAAAATCTATATTCAGTCATGCTATACTTACTGATTTCATAATTCAGTCTTTATTACTCTGTTTTTGAAACATATGAAATGTTGTTTTGGGCTGAGCATCTTGTTTTACTGATAGTCCGAGTGGCTTGAGAGGTTTATGATTGAGTGAGGCCGAGGGCCTGATCTGTGAGGATATTTATGAGATCGGGTTGCACGTCGCAGCATGTTGTTACTGATTTATGATTGAGTGAGGCAGAGGGCCTGAATGATTTATGCCACCAGGTAGCTTGTTATAGCGCTTGGGCTGAAGGAGCCCATCCGGAGTCTGTACATATCCCTAGTGAGCACAGGTACCTACTGAGTGTTGAGTGCGAGTGCCGAGCGCTGAGCGACTGGGAGGAATGAGTGAATGTGAGGAATGAGTGATTGTGAGGTTGGAGTGAATGGGAGGACATAGTGACTGTTATTCTGAGAAAATACATTTCATTACCGTTGCATCGTAGATGTCATATCATTGTTTTGAAATTATTGAAAGATATTATTTACTGCTCAGTCAAATTTGATATCTGGTTTGTTGAGTACGTACTGTTGTGACTTACACTGTTAAATTGAAAGTAAGACTACTTTTATTTGAAAGTTATTGAGATAATTGTATTTGCATAGCTCGTCACTACTTCTCAGTTCCTTATTCATTTTTGTTACTTACTGAGTTGGTGTACTCACGTTACCCCTTGTACCTCGTGTACAGATCTAGACATTTCTGGTCTCAGCAATTGCTGATTGAGGAGTCAGACTCATGAGACTATTGAGGTAGCTGCATGGCATTCGCTGACCTTGACTCTACTTTCCTTTCATGTTGTATTGTTCTATATTTTCAGACAGTGTTTTATCAGTCGGATGTTGTTATCATTTAGATGCTCATGCATTCAGTGACACCGGGTTTTGGGGATAGATTGTATAGTAATTTTGGAGTTATATTCTATTTTTAAAAGGATTTCTTTAATATTAACTACTTCCGCCTTTAGTTAAAAGTTATACTGTATTGAGATGTCGAGTTGAGGCTAGCCTAGTTTCACGATAGGCGCCATCACGACAGGTGAGATTTTGGGTCGTGACAGCTTGTATATAAACTACGTAACAAATTCAACAGTACTGTTTTACAAGTAAACGATTTGGCGTCCACCGTGGGGCTTAGGCAGTTGCATAATTGAGTTGATCCTTGGATCTATTACTAGCTCGTTTGATTCTTTGTTTTATAGTAAAAAATCAAAAAAATGGCAGGTAACAATGTCAACATCGCACACAGTGTTGAGCCGCATGAAAATTTTCCTCAACACGAGGAGTCGATCAGTGACACCTGCAATAAGAGGTACTTGACAATTCCAATTCATGGCGGACAATATCCCCGGCATGTGCGGGAACCAACTCCCGATGATGTGGAGGATGAACAAATTGCGAAAATGGTAAGGATCTTGAGAGAGCAGCAAAAAGCCATCATGGGCCATCTCTCAAGGAAGGACTAGGTCATGACGGAACTAAAGCAGGCATTATCAGGTGCTTCCAGCAACGCAAACGAAAGAGGTGCAGTTCCTCCCAACACTTCTACAAATCAAACGGCTCAAAGAGTTGATAATAACACCTCGAGAGGTGAGGTTGGCTTCGACGGAGCCGGGGGGACTAGTAGTGGATCCGACAATGACAACGGTAATGATCCCTTCAAAACCGAATTCATGAGATTCATGAGGGAAATAAATGAGTGGATGGATCAGAACGCGAAGGAGTTTCACGCCCGAATGGATCAAATTCCAGCTGCACCACCAGTTTTGAAGGGCCCTGATTCGAAGAAGTACACCCAGTTACTCTTTAAGCCGAGCGCAGCACCAGAACTGATTCCGAAATGGTTCAAGATGGTGGACATACCAAAGTACGATGGGACTTCAAATCCTCAAGAGCACATCACAACTTATACAATGGTGGTAAAAGAGAACGACTTGGCTCAACATAAGATTGAGTCAGTTCTGCTGAAAAAATTCGGAGAAACCCTCATGAAAGCGGTCTTGACATGGTATTCACTTTTATCCGAGTATACAATTGACTCTTTTGAAATGCTTGCAGATACATTCATAAAGGCCCATGCCGGGTCCAGAAAGATCCAATCCCGGAAGGTGAACATTTTCAGGATTGCACAGGATGAGTTCGAATTACTGCGAGAGTTCGTTATTAGGTTCTAGAAAGAGAGAATGTTGCTACAGGTCATACCAGACGAATGGGCAGCTGAGGCATTCACTAAGGGTTTGAACCCAAGGAGCTCCGACGCCTCCTGAAAGTTGAAGGAAATCCTGCTCGAGATCCAAGAGACCAAATAGGCGTTTGTTCATAGTTGCTATGAATCGAAGATAAGGATAGAAGATGATGAGCTCGGGTTCCCGACATCAACCAAGGGGATGGACCGAGACAAGAACCAGGAAAAGTTCAAGGGTGACTTTGATGCATACCAGCGATCTTCCAAAGGTCGTTTCTTTCCTTACAAGAGGGCCGAGGGATGCGACAGCAAAGGGTTTCGATATTCAAATAGATTCGATCCCGATAGAAGAATTAACAGCGGCCAGAACATATAGCTACAAGAAAAAGAGGTACCGAGCACCCAGGATTCCTCATATCCAGGCTGTCAGATTATAATTTCAACATCAATGTAGTGGAGTTGGTATCAGCAATGAGGAATATCAAAGAATCAAGATACCCGGAGCCGATCAAATCTGATCCTAGCCAGAGGGATCCCAACTTATGGTGTGAATATCTTGGGACTCATGGTCACAAAGCTGGGGACTGCCTGCATCTATGCAAGGAGGTGACAACGTTGTTTAAGAACAACCATCTTAGGGAGTTCTTGAGTGACCGAGCCAAGAATAATTACGGGCACAACCGGGATAATGCAGGACTCTCGAAGATAGGGGAAGACCCTCCTCGACTGACTATTAACACAATTTTCGGAGGGAATAAAACCAATGGTGCATCCTTCTTGGCGGCCCAGAATACAAAAATATCAATGACTCTCAGCAAGAGACTTCGGAAAGTCGCCGAAGATGACATTACATTCACAGAAGAAGACGCTGATGTACTTCTTCTGCCGTATAACGATGCCCTGATAATTTCTCTTAATGTTTTAGATTTTGAGACTAAACGTGTTTTGGTTAACCCAGGAAGCTCAACCAACATCATTCAATAGAGAGTGCTGGAACAAGCCAAATTAAGCGAAAGTATCATTCTGGCAACAAAACTCCTCGACGGGTTCAACTTGGTAAGTGTGACAACCCGAGGAGAGATCCTGCTACCACGAATGCCAAAGGGGTTACGAAGACCACCTTATTTGAAGTGGTGGACAGTGACATGGGATACAACATAATTCTCGGTAGACCGTGGTTACATGATATGAAGGTCGTACCATCAATATATCACCAATTACTGAAATTTCCGACCTTAGAGGGAATCAAGCAAATCAGAGGAGACCAACCGGCAGCAAGAGAAATGAACGCAGTGTCAATTTCAAGCAGTAATGGGAAAGTACCCAGCAAATAGCAATTACAGGAACCGGTACCTGCTCCCGAGCCGAGTGATAAAGGCAAGGATTCGTCAGAATCCTACTAGGCTCCGAGATATTTTTAGGTATCGGAAGAGAGACACGCGACCAAATCTACGGCATAAGAACTCGGACAAGTGGCTTTGTTTCAGGAATTCTTGGATAGAAAATTTCACTTGGGAGTATGACTCAATCTCAAGCTCAGGTCAGGATTTATTAATTTCCTTGAAGATAATGTTGATTGTTTTGCATGGTTGCACTCGAATATGACAGGTATCCCACTAGAGGTGGTCGTGCACAAGATATGCCTGGACCGAAGCGTCCCTCCGGTAAGGCAAAAGAAACTCCTGATAGTTGAGGTCATAAATAGGGTTGTTAAGGAAAAGGTAACTCGATTACTTGATATCGGTTCAATCCGGGAGGTAAAGTATCGATAATGGTTAGCTAATATAGTTGTAGTTACGAAAAAGAATAACAAGTTTTGAATGTGCGTAGATTATAAAGACTTGAATAAGGTGTGCCCTAAAGACTCGTTCCCACTGTCAAACATCGATCAAATGATTGATACGACGGCCAGGCATGAGTTAATGAGTTTCCTCGATGCCTATTCCGGGTACAACAAAATTAAGATGAACCCGGAGGATCAGGAAAAAACTTCGTTCATAATGAACTTTGGCATATATTGTTATAATGTGATGCCATTCAGGCTTAAAAATGCCGGAGCCACNATATAACATGTTGTTCAAGTCTTTGAATGCAGGTGATCATTTAAAGCACTTCCAGAAAACCTTTGATATCTTAAGGAAGCACAACATAAAGCTCAACCTTGAAAAATGCACATTTGTGGTTGGCTCTGGTAAGTTCTTGGATTTTTTGGTTTCACAAAGGGGGATCGAGGTAAACTCCGATAAGATAAAACCATCGAGGACATCTCAGACCAGCTGACAAGCTTAAAAGAAGTCCAAAGTCTAATCGGAAGATTTGCCGCTCTAAGCAGGTTCATCTCTCGATCCTCAAAAAAATATCATCACTTCTTCAAGTGAAGAAGAAGAAGAAGAAAAACACTTTCGAATGTACTCCAGAATGTCAACAGTTCTTGAAAGACCTGAAACATTATCTATCAGATGTAAGGCCCCGTGAAAACTTTGGCTCAAAAACCCGAGATCTCGTAGTGCCAAGTTAGGAATATGTGTTAGACCGCGGTTCGGACCCTTTGGATTGGTATGTGCATTAAAAAGTTAAGGAATAATATTTTTCAGAAGAGCGCGTTTCTGCGGTTCATTAAGCGGTCGCATAATAGCTATGCGGACCGCATAGTTGCCGCAGAGTGAGGCAGTTTGATGGTTAATTTTGAGGTCAAATATGCGGCCAATTATGCGATCGCATAATCAATATGCGGGCCACATAGTCATCACATAATCTCCTTGGAATTTTGCGAGGGGCAGTTTTGCAGTGCATTATGCGACCACAGAATAGGTATGCGGACCGCATTCTTGTCGCATACCCAGCAGTTTGTTCGTGTTTTAGGGGCCATTTTGCGGTCCCTTTTGAGGGCTGCATGTCAATTATGCGATCGCAGATTGGGTCGAGGCTCCTATTTTCTAACTTTTAAAACCCGACCCCATCCTATTAAAAACACCCCATTAGACCCCTTTTATGCTATTTTACTGTAATTAGAGTGAGAGGGGGAGTTCTAGAGGGAAAACTAACTCTCACCAAGTCACTACAATCCTTGCCCAAATCTTTGAAGACTTTTAAGTAAAATTTGCTAGGCCTTCATCCTAAGAGGTAAGAATTTGTGCCCTAAACTATGATTTCGAAATTTCTATTAAAATAAGTGATTAACAACTGGGTTCATGGGTATAAGGATTGATTATCTTGCATGCATAAATGATAATAGGGTATGGGGAGATTGCGAGTTAAAAAGATAGCAATTGGGGTGTAAAATGATAAAAATTTCTCACAAAAGGGTCCTAAAATCACAATGCACACTTAGTGCTTGATAATATACTCAAATGAGCTAGAATCTTAATCATGTCTCTAATTTTTTGTTCAACTTGTAATTCTCATAAAGTAGATCAAAGTTGCTAAGAGTTCTGGAATTTTGTAAGAATTTAAGGAAAACTCTATTGAGGTATGTATGGCTTAAAAATCCCTCTTTTTAGAAATTGAACTCCGTTGGTGTATATGCAAATGTTGTAAGACTGAAATTGGATTGACGAATTGATTGTTATTTCACATGAATTTGTTTTGCAAGTATATATACGTGAAATGTATGCCTCAATGTGTTCAATACACTATTTTTGATAATTTAAAGATATGTGAAGAATATGAACCATGTGTTGAAATGCCTAGACTTCAAGTCAAGATTATCATGCCAACTATGTGAAATCTTATCTATGCTTACAATTTGAATTGCTATTGTATGTCCCTATTATCCTAAATTGCAAGGTTAACACTGAAAGTGGAAATAATGTGAAACGTGGCCTAGTGCCAAGTATGATGTGATAATTGTGGCTCCAAGTGCCAACGAATTGATATATGTGTAATAAAGATTGAGATGAGATGATTAATGAAAAAGGAACAATGTCTTGGGAAGACGGCCTAGACGATCGGATCGTGATCGGACGCCATGCCGCACACATGGTAGTATTGTGCTGATATTGAATCCAAAAAATGAGAATGAGATGGTGATTGAGATACATGTCTCAAATGAGGCAACCTAGCCGATCGGGTCGTGATCGAACTCCGCACAAGAAAGCGGTGGTATTATGAATGATGATGAATAGTATTAAATGCCCCAACCTAAAGCTATGGAAACTATGTGACAATTATATGATTCTTTTATTTGATTGAACTTGTGAATTCCTTGTTCTTGTATGATCGTTCTTTCTAATGAGATGGTGTTTAGTTATACATACCAGTACTATTCCATGGTACTAACGTCCCTTTTGCCAGGGGCGCTACATTTTTGAATGAATGTAGGTGGTTCTATAGCAGACTGTGTCAATCGCAGGTAGCGGAGTATCCTCCTCTTAGAAGTCTTGGTGAGCCCCTTTCCTTCAGGGGTTATGATGTACACCTTTTGTTATAAAATTTCCACTTTTGCGGTATAGCCAGGTTGCCGACGTTATCATAACTGTCTTTTGTATCCTTAGAGGGTCCGTAGATATTTGTGTGGGTTATGTAGGGGTAATGGTCGGGTCAATGAACTATGTTGTAATTCTAAACCCTAGTTCTTCTAACTGTATCTGTATGAAATCTTGGGAACTTAACTATGGTTTAAATGTGGTAATATGAAATGAATTAGCAATGTTATATGTACGCCTAACCTACTATTTAAATAAATGGAAGCATGGTTTTCGTGGTCGTAGTGAGTTGGGTAGAAAGTGTTGAAAAGGCTTGCTCAGTTGGGTTCACTCGATTGAGCGCCGATCGCGCCTCCCGAGGTTGAGGCGTGACATCAAGTCCCCCGTTACTATCAAAATCGGGGAAGGTGAACAACTGTTAATATACTTAGCAGTCTTAGAGATAACGGTAAGTGTTGTTCTAGTTCAGTAGGACGAAGGTACGCAATTTTCTATATATTATGTTAGCAAAATCAACTTAGGAGCGGGACTCGTTATCCGAACCTCTAAAAGCTGGCCTTAGCTCTTGTAGTTGCTTCTCGAAATGTTTGGCCTTATTTGCATTGCCACGCGATAGTCGTTGTGACAACCTTCCCTTTGTGGAATGTTCTTCATTAGCCTGAGATGTCAGGACGGTTGGCTAAATGGGCAATTAAAATTAGTGAGTTTGATATTGAATATAAGTTTAGGACTGCGATTAATCACAAGTTTTGATCGACTTTGTGGCTAATTTCAGTTCGGGGTTATTACCCCTAGTTGCTAAAAAAGCGGTGACGGTGTCAGAAATGACATTAGAAGTTTGGTCATTGTTCACGGACGTAGCTTCCAATGTGAAAGGGTTCGAGCTCGAGGTGGTCCTAATCACGTTTTCGGGGGAAACTTTAAGGCATGCCATAAAAATTGTTCCTTTAACTAACAATTAAGCCGAGTATGAGGCTTTGACTGTAGGACTCGAACTGGCCCGATGACTTAGCTCTAAGATCATAGAGACTAAATGTGATTCCCAACTGGTAGTAAACCAAGTATATGGGATTTTTGACACAAAGGAGGAACACATGCAACAACATGTGATTAAAGTTCAAACTTTTTTTGCTTGATTTAGGGAGTAGTCGATCACACACATCCCAAGAGAAGAGAATGTAGAAGTGAATGCATTGGCCAATTTAGGGTCATACACGGAGATGAAAGGAACTGACTATGGTATTGTCGGTCAACTTTCCATTCGGTACTAGATGTGGACGACAATTGCGAAGTAAATACGACCAACCTATTATGGGACTGTAGGAATGAGTTCATAAACTATCTTCAGCATGGCAAACTGCTCGAAGACCCGAAGGCATCCCGGGTACTATGTACTAAAGCAGCTCGCTATAACCTCTTAGGTGGACAGTTATATAGGAGATCATTCCAAGGCCCATTAGCCCGATGTTTAAGAGCCCTAGAAGCAGGATACATGATGAGAAAGGTCTATGAAGAAATTTGCGAGAACCATTCCGCTACTGACTCGTTGGTACTAAAGAT